CCTCTGCTCGCTCTTCTCTTTCCTTTTCTTTTTACAAGGTATGCACCACCACCCACACCTGACCTAATTTTTGTATTTTTAATAGTGACGAGGTTTTGCCCTGTGGGCAGATTGGTCCTCCGAACTACCAACCTCAAGGTGATTGCCTGCCTCAAAGCCTCCCAAAGTGCTGGGATTACAAGGGTGGAGCCACCACGCCTGTGCCCTGTGCTCTTGAGGCGGTGTGTTAGTTTTGAACCTTTTGTCCTCTAGTGGTGCTGCCTGCAGCTCAAGGCAGGAGGGTGTTTATCCTGATGAGGCAGCACCCTGTCATCTGGCTTCTGTCCACCTCTTTGTTTTCTTGACTCTGCGGCACAGGGCGGGCTGTTGTCAGAGGGGTCTCTTTCACCCTGTGTGTCTTCCTGTACTGTGATTCCATCTGATGCTCCATTCTCTGTCCTATAGATCAGCGAACTGCCCCGTCCCATCTAGATACACCTGCCCCTTGACCTATTCAGGTTCCATCCCATTTCCTGTATTTGGAACACCTAATAGGAGATAGAAAAATCTGGGCTGGCTCCTCCAATTGGCATCTGGGGCGCGGGATACTGCGGCAGAGCCCCTGTACTTGTTCAAATAGTCTGGTTGTCTATTTGAAATAGGAAAAATGGCCACATGCAGTGGCTGCCTGCTAATCCCATCACTTTAAGAGGCTGAGGGCAAGCGAACACTTGAGGTCGGGAGTTTGAGACCAGCCTGGCCAACATGATAAAACCCTGTTTTTACTAAAAACAACAAAAGTAGTCGGGCGTGGTGGCGGGTGCCTGTAGTCAGGAGACTGAGGCAAGGAATCTCTTCAACATGGGAAGAAAGAGGTGAGCTGAAATCATGCGTGAATCTATACGTTGGATTTGTTGAATATGTGCCTATAAATAGAATTCATAGGTCATTCAGTTTGACAAATTTCATAGGATACATTATAAGAGATGTAAACCTGCTTCTTCCCACATTATCATACTGACTTTTAAAAATCTCTTCCATTTTGGCTGCACAATTGCAATTTTTCCCAGAGTTGAAGATAGGGTTCTTTTTTTTTTTTTTTTGAGACCAGTCTTTGCTCTGTCCATCAGAACTGGAGAGCAATGGCACGATCTTGGCTCACTGCAACCTCTGCCTCCCAGGTTCAATTGATTCTCCTACCTCAGTCTCCTGAGTAGTTGTGACTACAAGCACGCACCACCATGCCCGGCTAATTTTTTCATTTTTAGTGGAGACAGGGTTTCATCATGTTGGCCAGAATATTCTCGATCTCTTGACTTCGCGATCTGCCTGCCTCTGCCTCCCAAAGTGCTGGGATTACAGGTGTGAGCCACCATGCCCAGGCAAGGATGCAATATTATTAATGCTCTTTATTAAATCAGTTCTTTTCCACTAAAGTCAAAATTTTAACTGATGAACTATAATTATATATTTTTTCACATGGAGTCTTGCTCTGTTGCTCAGGCTGGAGTACAGTGGCATGATCTCTGCTCACTGCTATCTCCTCCTCCTAGGTTCAAGTCATTCGACTGCCTCAGCCTTTCCAATAGCTGGGATTACAGGCGCCAAACTCCACGTCCAGCTAATTTTTGTATTTTTAGTAGACAGGGTTTCATCATGTTGACCAAGCTGGGTTTGTACTCCTGACTTCAGGTGATCCACCTGCCAGAGCCTCCCAAACTGTTGGGATTACAGGCGTGAGCCACTGCTCCCGGCCTACTGTCACTTATTAACATATTGTATTTCTGACCACCTCAATATCCACAGTACTCTCTCAGACCCCACACTACTCTCATTATGTAAGGAAAGACACATGCTTATCCATTCAGGACACAGCCTAAACCAATGTCTGCTCTGTATGATGGTTGACATGCCACTGTCTAAATTTTACTTTAAGTTCTGGGGTACATGTGCAGAATGTGCAGGTTTGTTACGTAGGTATACATGTGCCATGGTGATTTGCTGCACCCATCAACCCGTCATCTAGGTTTTAAGCCCTGCATGCATTAGGTGTTTTTCCCAATGTTCTCCCTCCTCTTGCCCCCCACCCCGATAGGCCCTGCTGTATGTTGTTTCTGTCCCTGTGTCCACGTGTTCTAATTGTTCAACTCACTTATGAGGCAGAACATGCAGTGTTTGGTTTTCTGTTCCTGTGTTAGTTTGCTGAGCATGATGGCTTTCAGCTTCATCCATGTCCCTACAAAGGACATGATCTCATTTTTTTTCTTTTCTTTTCCTTCTTTTTTTTTTGAAATGGAGTTTCGCTCTTGTTGCCCAGGCTGGAGTGCAATGGCATGATCTCGGCTCACCACAACCTCCGCCTCCCGGGTTCAAGCGATTCTCCCGCCTCAGCCTCCAAAGTAGCTGGAATTACAGGTATGCACCACCTTGTCTGGCTAATTTTGTATTTTTAGTAGAGACGGGGTTTCACCATGTTGGTCAGGCTGGTCTCCAACTCCTGACCTCAGGTGATCTGCCCACCTTAGCCTTCCAAAGTGCTGGGATTACAGGTGTGAGCCACTGTGTCCTGCCAGTCTCATTCTTTTTTATGACTGCATAGCATTCCATGGAATACATGTGCCACATTTTCTTTAACCAGTCTATCCTTGACGGGCATTTGGGTTGGTTCTAAGTCTTTGTTATTGTAACTATTGCTACAAGAAATATACATGTGCATGTGTCTTTATAGTAAAATGATTTATAATCCTTTGGATATGTACCCAGTAATGGGATTGCCAGGTCAATACTACATCCACTTTTAAGAACATGTCTGGGTCTGCAGCCCAAGATCAAATACCATTGACCTCACTTACTTTCAGTGTAAATTGGTGGACCTACTCTATTTATTTGAAAAGCAATAATTTACTCCAAATTTCTTTTGGCAAGTTAGTGTTTGTTGGTAGATGGCTGGGAATACTGCAGAGTTTTTGTGAAGATGGAAAAGTTACTTTAGTTAAGAAAAAAGATTTGTCAGTCTCTGTCAGGTTTATTAGATGGAGCTTTTCATGTCTTAACCACCTCAACTTACCATAAGAAATACTGTAGATTGAGATGCTTAACCCCTTAAACTGCAGGAAATAATTTCTCATAAATCTGTAAGCAGTGAAGTCCAAGATGCATAAAAACACTTCCTGGGTGGTGCCTTCTATTTTACCCTAGTCTGCTTTTTTTTTTTTTAATGGAGTTTTGCTAATTTTTGTATTTTTAGTAGAGATGGGGTTTAATAATGTTGGACAGGCTGGTCTCAAACTCCTGACCTCAGATGATTCACCCACCCTGGGCTCACAAATTGCTGAGATTACAGGCCTGAGCCACTGCACCTTGCCCCAGCCAGCTTCTTGCTGTGTCTCATATGTCAGAGTGAAAGGAAGCAAGCACTTTAGTGGTTTTCCTTATACAGGCACTAATCCTGTTCATTAGAGCTTCCTCCTCATGGCCTAATTGTTGCCCAATGTCCCCACTTCCAATAACATAATATTGGGGAATAGGATCTTAGTAGACTAATTTTGGTCAATGCAAACATTTAGACCATGGGTGCCTTCGTTGTGTTGTATACCTTTTATTTTTCAGTTTGCTCCAAAGAATGTTTTCTCTGACCTTAGTCAATAAATTTCCCAATTCCAAAATTCTTTTCAATTACTAGACAGCCATGTTTCCCTTCTATTGCAGTATGCCCAGGTTTCATGTTGGAAAAATTCTCCTTTTTGGGGAGCTAACCTAACTAATTTTTGCAATGTAAGTGGTTGGTCGTAGCTTTCTTTATACTACTGTTCTGCAGTTAGTTTGAATTATGTGCAGTCACCCTTTCTCTATTAGAAAATATCTGTTCCTGGCCGGGTGCGGTGGCTCACATCTGTAATCCCAGCACTTTGGGAAGCCGAGGTGGGCAGATCATGAGGTCAGGAGATCGAGACCATCCTGGCTAACATGGTGAAACCCCGTCTCTACTAGAGATATAAAAAATTAGCCGGGCGTAGTGGCGGGCGCCTGTAGTCCCAGCTACTTGGGAGGCTGAGGCAGGAGAATGGCATGAACCTGGGAGGCGGACCTTGCAGTGAGCCCAGATCGCGCCATTGCACTCCAGCCTGCGCGGCACAGTGAGACTCCGTCTCAAAAAAAAAAAAAGATGTTCCCCTTCCTGAGTTGGGCGACAGAGCAAGGCTCCATCTTAAAAAGAAAAGAAGAATATCTGTTCCTTTTTGTTCTCCAAAAAATTAAAAATCATGATTGGGAGTTTTTATAATTTTTTCCTTTAACATAAGTATTCTTCTTAGTGTAATATTACATATTTCAATAGGAGATATTTATTGACTATCTGTTTAATTTGGAAACTATGGGTTCCTTATGTCTTATAGGTATTTTTTCTAAATATGAGTCAAGGAATTACCAAAAAAAAGGAGAGTAATACAGGAGAAATATTCCAGATAGTAATGTTGGAAAGACATGAAGGCCACGACATAGAAGATTTTTGCTCAGTGAAACCCGGAAAAGTAATTGAGCTCGTTCAATTGTCGGTGGAGGACTGATTGAAAAGACATTACAAAGAGTGTGTGGAACCTTAAGGAAAGTCTCATTTGGGTAGAAGAGACATGCATGGTAGAAAGGATTGATGTACAAAACAAGCCTATTAAAGAATCAGATACATT